TACTAGGGGCTCCTGGCCGTACTGCTAGGAGCAAGGACGCTACTAGGCGCTCCTGGCATCGCTACTAGGAACAAGAAGCTACTGGGGGCTCGTTTGGTCAATGCCCCGACGCCAAGAAGGACCTGGCACGGTAGCCTGAGACTTCGGACCTTGGCCATGGACCTGGAGCCGTCCAAAAACGACCTTCACCTTGCTTGTCGACCTTTGCACTAATGCGGTTTTAATGCAATGTAAATATCAAAAGGTATGGTGAGAAGCCTTGAAGGAACACAGAGTTCAGGCCGTTCTGAGCCAGTGGCCCTTTTAGGACTGCGGCAATAATGCTCAAAAACCCAGAAGGAAAAGGAAGATAAGGAAGCGTTGTTTTTCTAACCTTTCATGCTAGTGGACTATTCTTAGCTGTCACTTGTTAACGAGCATGGGCAATCACGACCTTGCAGGCGCCAATTTTCGGGTCTAGAAGTCAGGCGCGTCAGTTGTTGGGTGCATATGCCATTGATGCATGTACCATCGTGCACGTACCTGGCTACCTACACGAACTCTTTCATTCCACTCATTGGGCAGCTCATAATATGCATAAAGCAATTGCAAATATCTGGAATCATGGGCAGCATAGACAAGAATCTGATCCAGCAAAGGCCGCTTCTGAAAGATTTCGTACGACCCACCTTTCTCAGGCTCAAAAAGCTGTTTGCCACATTTGTTGATGAACTCAGCAAAGCTCTTCTGACTTTGATCAAGACGGTCACATCCAGCCAAGCATTTCTGCAAGCTGAAGACAAAGTTGACCGTAAGGCCCTTGCTCCTACGAGCCGCTACTTCCGCAAGCTGCAAATCAAATATGTTGTGAGGCTCAATTCCAAATTGATGGTACAAGGCATCCACATCGTTGCGCGGGTCAAACCATATTTTCAGAATCAGTGGGTCCTCCAAAATGGTTTTGATTGATAGCCCCTTGGGAGTTGCAATGTGTAGCGAGCGAGGTAGCACATGAACATCCAGCACATAGACTCGGCTCGGCACATCACTACAAGTCAGCTGAACTAAACAGAGTTGACCCGAACGACTTAGTCTCACACCCTCAAAGTCAACGGCAACTGTCAATTCACGATCTCTCGCAGTGTAGATGCTCTCGATATGCCGCAGCAACGACATGAGGCTGCCATAGCAATCCACCAGAACAATACTGAATCCATTCGAAGAATGTTGGAATGTGTCATACCGTTCGTCCTCAGCCTTGAGGAAATCACCCTCATTCAGGTCCACGCTAAAGTGTCGGCAGAATCGCATCTCTAGGGCGTCTAGGCCTCGCTTTTCGACAAGTTCCAACGCAACTGCCGCGGCTTTTGCTCGGCAATGTTCCAATAGCATCACCAGGTAAGACAGCAACAGGGATGGGTAAGACAGCAACTCGGTCAAATGTCTCAATTCCTCGACATCGACGTCACTTGCCGCCAACCGTGCCAAAGCACTTGCGATGCAAGAAGACTCTGACCCAAGCAGCTGAAGGACCACATGATAAACAAAGCCACGAAAGGCCACGCGCAAAGAGCTCATTGTCTCAAGGTCGTCCCCACCAATTCGTATCGTGTGCATGTACTCCATTATCTTGCAATGTTGGTGATCCTTTCCCGACGTAGAAGCGACGAGAACTAGCTCATCCAATGAATGCAACCTCTGTTCAATCCATTCAGCAAATGCTAGGATGACCTGACACTTCAGAACCTCTGGGCGCGACTCTCCAAACGAGATAGTCTCATCTGGCAACTGTGTCAGGAACTCGAGGAAGTTCTGCGTCGACTCCTCGCTGCAATCCTCCAAGAACAGCTGCAGAACTTGTGCAGCTAAAATAGTGGGCGGCCTAGGCCAACCAAGCACCGGCTTGTCTGACATCGATCAAGTCGAAGTAAATCCATCACACGAATCTTCTGAAACGACTGCTGATTCCATAGGTATGGATTCCCATAGCCATCGTAATGGATGACGACTTCTGCTAGGCTGCTAGGTGGTTGCCCTTTTTCTAGCTCATTGTCAGGAAGCTCTCTGCAATCAATGTGAGAATAAACACTCTACAGACTCTACAAAGTCCCTGGCACTTTGAAATGCTTGAAGGGGTGAGCCAAATGTTGAGAGCGCACTTCAGAGCAGGCCAAGTACCGTCACATGTGTAACAGGATGTAACGGGAAGCAGTTGCAAAATCAAGGAAACCCGAGTCAGCTCGACGTCAGGAGAAAGGGTCGTGGTCATCGACCACCTGACAACATCCTCGACAGTCCAGTCATCTAGCCTGCGCTTCAAACAGAGGAAGCTAAGCTGTGCACATCGGACCCACCATCCCGACATCTCCCGGCCTCCTCAGACTGCACCTTAGTAGACGAAATTTCAACCAATGTGTGTTGAGGATGACAACGAAGGTAAGGGCCCCTTTAATAAGGTCCCTCTCAACCTACTAGCGATGGCCTCCAACCTAAAAGTGCCTTTAAAGGAGGCCTCAACTTCTTCATTACGACCGCCACGCGACCTCCTTCGATCTCATTTTCGCCAACTCGTGTCCCGGCACGACCCGGCGTGACCCAGCGTGACGTGACATCCCCGTACCACCGGTACCCATTGGTATCCACCAGTTGTATCAAAGTGAGACAGTTTTTGTGGTAAGCTGGAGGGGTCGCATCACACTGGGTCAGCGTGAGACCCGCCACATTGAGTGGCAAACTGTTCTCGCCACCGCATCACATCTTGACATGGAGGAATGCTGACAAAAACAATTTCTGCAACAATGTTTTTTAAGACATGGTTCTCGTTTCTGCGGTGAATGTCCCGACCCTGTGCACAGGCCTAGCTGCATGGATCTTCGGCGCACCTGTCGCTGCCCCCCGAGCCCATACATGCAAACACCTCAGTCTGAAAGCCTCAGCTGAGCCCTGGCTCTAAGATTTGGTTTTCGGGGCACTCCGATAAAGAGCAGTCAGGTTCAACATCCACGTGTCTCCAGCCTTCAGCGAAGAGACACGTGCGGTCGAAACAGTTTTGCGATTCACCATTTCCACCGGCACGCATTCGTTGCATACAGATTCCTACAGAGTTCCTACCATCCATTTTCGTGCGCTTTCGTAGCGATTGTCGTCGCACGGCTTCTCATTCATTTGCGGCCCAATGCCTCAGCTCGCACCCGGTATCAAATGACGGTAGCCAGGCCAATCTGCGGGCGCTTCGAAGTGATACCTCAGAATCCAGCTATCATCAGCTATCATCAGCTATCCAGTAATCCAGCCGCTACTTTTTGGTGCTCTTTTTGGAAAATGCCGTGAAATAGATGTGTCGAGGCTCCTCTCCATGAACTCCAAAAGAGCTAAAACAGGTCCATCCACTGGTCGCTCTGGAGAATGACTGTTCCTGCACAGCTCCTGGTCAGAAACACCGAAGCCATCCGAAACACGCAAACCATCTGCAGAATCTACTTTGAGAACGAAGCATTTAAAGCACCAAACCACCTCTGAATAGTGACAGGTGAGGAAAAGGTCTCGAGCCACCAACCACTCGCCAGCTTCGTAGTTGCGGACACCCACTGCAAACCGCTCAAAGAACTCCTGAAGTCAAAGACCCGCCGCAAGAGTAACGAGAGTAACAAGTAAAGCAGCAAACATGCTTTCAAGATGTGTCAACAACTCATTTCATCACGCAACTTGCCTCCCTACACTCCAAAAATGTGTGCGATTCTTTCTTGAACTCTTCCCACCTTTGAATACGGCTCACGCATCTCGACAAAGTCTGAATGCTCTGAAAGGATTTCCACAATATCAAAGTCTGAGGTCCATAGCCTTGGATTCCACCAAAACTGAGGGATCAACAAAATATAGCAAAAAAATACTCGACGGGAACGAAAAAAGGAAAAGGGGATCAAACAAATGCTCCCAGTGAGCGAAGAAAGGAAAAGAGGACTAGGAAAGAACAGCAGGGCGGGCGAATAGAGGACCATGACAGGATGTTTGCAACACATTGACATCAACAAATTTAGGCGAGGGTGTGCAGTGGTGTGGATATGCGATGGGTGACCTTTAACGAGTCGGTCGTGGCAGGCCCAGCGCCTCCCCCCCCAGAGCGAACCTCAAAAGGCACCACAAAATAGATCACCCTTGAAAACTGCACACCCCATTGCCTCATCAATGAAGGGCACTCAGAAAGTGAGGCAAGGACCAAGGGAGCCGGGTAGCATTTTGTGTTCGCAAACATCCTGTTGACGATGGACCACAAGGCCAGCGGACCAGGACAAGGACCAGGGGATCAAAGGACCAGGGGATGAAAGGACCGGACCAAAGGACCTACTCAGGATTTTGTTGATCCTGTTCATGTTTGTTTATTGATCCTGTTCTTTTGCCTTTTGATCTAGATGCCCACCAAAACCCCATAAAGCCTTGGAAGAACACGACACAAATGAGCAAAAGAGAACGACCAGTAAGTGTCGGATGTTTCTGTACCAACAGGTGCCAGTTTGAACTTGTGCAAACATGGTGCTCGTTTTTTCACAGCTTCACGCATCTGTCTGACCTTGTACCGATTGTAGACCTGAAGAGATGCGACGACATGCCTTGTGCTCACGTCGCCGAAAGGACCGAAGTATGGCTATGCCACAAAAATGCATTTTGTCTTTTTTGGGGCCCATGGTCCTGCCTCGTCACTTAGTTAAAGATTAGTTAAGTAGGCACCTATTTAATTTAAGTTAGGGAGAAGTTCGCTCCTAGCTAGGACGCAGGACAACGCTCGCCCTAATGATTTGGTTCCCAGATTTTCAGGAAGCTAAACTACCAAGAAGGTTTCACTTGGGTCGAACGTTCCGTTTGGCACCTGGCCTTCTTCTTGGTGCCTCGAAGTTTGGGTTTCACTGAGACTCGACTATGATCGAGATCCAAGGTGTAGAGCCGCAAGGTCTTCTTGGAGCCTGAGAATTGAAGTTGAGTTAGAACTAGACTGTAACTAGACTCTAGGAGTCTAGGCGATCAAGCAAATGGAAAGACCTGTGTCTATCTAACTCTTTCCTGCCTTCGAGCATGACATTGTCCACCATGCGGAAGTACGAAAGCAACTCATCGCTGCCTTGGACGCGCAGCCGCGACTCGCAGCCGCGACTCCCCAAAAAGACAGCTGTCGACAAGTCACACAGCTTGACCATGTAATTCGACAAAAGGATCCAAAGGCCCAATTGATCGGATGCAGCTTCGAGCTGTGAAGCAACATTCACATTTGGTGACCTCAAAACGAATGCACAAGTGGGCCGCACGTGTTGTGAGGAACCTATCGTCTTAGAGAATCTCTCTCAAATTTTCTCTCCCAGCATGAGCAATGGGGACAGCATGGCAAGTCCTTGCTTTAGGCCAACCGTTTGGCAAACACATTGCCTTAATCACAAGCCCCTCTCTCGTACAACAAAGCCGCAAATATGATGCATCGATCTTGTACTCGCTCCCAATGGCACCCTCAATCGCCCAGCCGCAGTGCAATCCAAAACCTAGCGTCACCTGCACTGCATTCATCTTTGGAAAATTCTGGCTCTTTTGCCTCTTTTGTTTCTTGCTTGATACGTTTGACAAACTATCGACTATCGATGCATCTTTCGTTTGGGGCTAGAGCTAAGGGTGCAATTCTAATGCAATCACTGATCGTGTTCAGCTTCCAAGGACAATTGTGCTAGCTGCTAGCTGTCGTTGTACATTGAGACAGTCCACCCTGAAATTTGGAAAACGCTGCTGAAGTCCAGGATGAAAGCGGTAGACTGCAAGCGTGTTAGACTTTTGCACTTCGATGGTGATGCAAACCTCAAGCAACAAAGGGCTCGCATGTGCTTTCAGGGGCTCAGCACTGATGCACCGTCGCCAAGTAGCAAAGGACATCATTGCCATGTCGGCAATCTTGGCCCTTACCTCTTGATCTGTCTCCCTTATGCGCCACACCTCGAAACATGTTGATCGTCTTCCGATGCAAACCCAACATATATATATATATATATCCAAGTGGCTACCAGAAAGGAGTTTCCACCAATGATCTTGTTTGGCGAGCCATGATAGGTGTCACAAATACCTGGTTCACAGCAATTGATACTCGGTTTGCTTCGCCTCTGGCATGTTCTTTCACCCTGACGACATTTGAAGGGCACCGTGCACAATCTCGCTCACTTGGTTGACAAAGACCATCACCTTTGGTCAGACAGTAGGGAAAATCCATTCCAACAACCACAATACAGTCCTGCTGTTTCTCGTTGCCCAGCAGAATGGATACGGGTTTGTGCTGGTGCATCGAACGACTAGCCATCACACTCAAAAATTTACCAGTCTCCTAACACACGCCTTCTCCTTCAACACATCGGTTGCATCACCGAAATTTCGGATGCTGCAAAAGCCAAAGACGGCTTCAACCTCTCGACCTGAACAATCGCAATTGAATCCGCAATTGCAACAAAAACTCACTTGAACAATTGCATTGGCAAAATCACCCAACTCAAGTGTTGGCTAGCCTGGCACCATGGCGTTCCTTGGAGGAGACAGAACCAAGTGCTTTGGACATACTCGGTTTGTCGCAAATCAACGAAACAAATGTTGTGCCTGTACATGTGACGGCTAGATTTCACTCGAAAATACTTGGGAGTTTATGGATCTGCGCGTGTGGCCACAAGGCTGGACCAGCAACGCCCTCCTGGTGGGTTTGGTTGGTTGGTAGGGTGGTCCGCGCCCTTGCTCCTTTGGAGTTTCAAGCAATGTTGATGGCTCGGACAGCCCAAAGCTTGCCCTTGATCTCAACAGGGTCATCTGAAAGCCCTTGCATCAATGTTCAAGTAAACCTTCAGAAACACAAAAAGTCGTTGTTTGTGTGCATCCACCAGGTTGGAGGCCATCGATTCGATATTAGCTTAGAGACCATCGCTATTGGGTTGGAGGCCATTGCATCTAGGTTAGGTGCCTCCCTCCAACCTGATAGCGATGGCTTCAACCTAGTAGCGATGGCCTTCAACCTAATAGCGATGGCCTCCAACCCAGTAGCGATGGCCTGCTTGCCCACAAGTCGGATACCCTCCCTCCCCCCCTCCCTCTCTTGGAAAACGTACAATTTCACCAACTCGGTTAGACTCTCAACATCTACATACATATAAATATCTTTCCAGCATACATCGACAAAGCTCACACGTCCCACTCAATAGATTGCACTTTTCACGGACATTACTGGCACCTCACGCAAAACAGTGCCGTTTTGAGCACAAGGCTATGGCAAAACTGGCCTCCAAGCATTCTGCTGTTTGGAATTCAGCCGGCCAGCAGGCACACTTGGAATTGAATAAAGAACGTAAACATACCTTATAGAAAAACGACTTTAAGTAGCCTGTGATGGCCTCCAACCTATATACAGTAACTATATACAGTAATAGCGATGGCCTGCAACCTAGTAGCGAGTGAACATAGAAATGTCAGGTGATGCCAAGGGTCAACTCTGCAGAGGTACCACCTTGCATATTGTGAACAATGATCTCCGCCCCAGCCTGGCACTGCACATTCTTGTGCAATTCAATGCATTTGAGAAATCCCACTTGCAGCGGTGAGAAATTCCAAGCGCTAATCATGGGAATTCAATCAGTCTCATTTGCTCAAGACTACGCTCTGCATCGCCTCACCAAAGCCCAAAGCGAGAAGACCACCCAGCTTGATCAACGTCCTGAAGTCAAAACACATTTCTCCCGCAGGGGTGTCAAATCCTTTTGAAACTGGCCTTTCCAGGATGGCGGTTTCCAAATTCTCCAATTCGGAGCTTTTGGATGGTGGCCTTCGATGGAAGCATGTCCACCTGAGACGTGGAAGAGTTTATAATTTCTGCCCGCGCCTCAATTCAGAAGAGGCCTAAAAGCCCCCCAAACAAGGATAGGAGAACAGCTGCAACCAAGAAAAAAGGACTCTAGAGATTCCCCAGGACCGCATGACGAAATATTGCAAACAATCTCAGGGTACACTCCATGCAATAAATTGTCAGAGTGTCAACCTCTCGTGATCAAGGTTATATGAACAGTGTCCCATTTCGGACAAAAAACCTGACTTCCTGACAAAAGCGCATAAATGTTCAGCTTGGAAGCTTCTCTCCGTTCTCTTCTTCTTCAAGCTGCTCTTGCTCCCTGGCAAACATAAATATAAATACTCATAAATATTAAATATATATAAATAAGGACCGTGACGCAAGCTGGAAGCTGGTGGAAGCCGCCTATAGTCAATGTCTCCCAGCTTCATGGCATGTAAAGGGTTTTTTCCGGATCGCCTGCGACATTAACAAATGGATGGAGACGTTTCGAGTTTTGAAGGCCTTACTAGTAGCTTCGAGTATCTATTTGCTACTGGTAGTAATGCGAGGAGCTACTAGTAGCTTCCTTGTTACTAATTACTAGTAAGGCACTGTGCGACTATTTCAAAAAACAAACTGCACAAGTTGTCCCGACACAAGTCCGGCCTCCAGCTTGACTAAGATTCTTTCAAGCGGACCCAGCAAATATATGTCAGCATCTCTGGCAAAGGATACAGCACCAACAGCCAGCGCCATGCAAATGAAAACGGTCTGCAACCTCAGTGAAGTCTGTCAGATCGCGTCAAAGAAGTGATAGGAAGTGGACCAAACAAGTAGTAAAGCGCATCAGGAATAGGCTGAGATTGATACATGCTAAGCCCTGCTTCACTTCGCGTGATGGCACGGGTGTCAAAGACAAAGAGAAGGTTTACCTCAGCTTGAACACCAGAGACTCGCAGCTTGAACAATGAACAGTTGGACCTTGCAAGAGCTCGATGCAACATAGAAGCATTGTCGGCTTCCGCTCGTGTCTGCATCATGGGCATCTCGTATCGGACCTGCAGCATGCACAAGTGTGCACATTATGCACAATGCAGTCCGGCGGCCATGGCTATTAGGTTGGAGGCCATTGCTAGTAGGAGCAAGGACGCTACTAGGGGCTCCTGGCCTTACTACTACGAGCAAGAAGCTACTAGGAACAAAGGGCATCGCTACTAGGAGTAAGGACGCTATTAGGTTAGAGCCCGGTTCGGTGTCCAAATGCCCCCGCTCCCAATCCCCAAAATGCTCAGGCCTCATTGCAGCGAAGGCGGTCAGTTACAGAGCAGGAGGTCGACAGGCTGTAAGCTTCTCCTTGGGAGTGGTGGGGAAATTGGCTGCATGAGATTTCATGAGCCATGTCATTTTGGTATGTCTCCAGAAGTTTGCGGACAAACTCCACGGTCCCAGAATTATTTCCACTTGACTCCACACAAGGGTTGAGTAAGGAACGTCCGTTGGGTAGTCGGGTCAAGAGACAGATTTGTCAGCCTCTTTTCTGACAAAGGAGAGACCAGTTCGGAGGTCTTAGGAGAGAAAACAAGGGCGGTATTGGAACCTCAAAAAGCAACAACTTGAGCCAAAACGAGAAAGGCCTTTCTTCAGCATGAAAAGAAAAGAAGACAAAGTGTCTTGGCAATTTGTTGTGCTTATTTCTTTGGGCTCGTTTAATCACATCATTAATAGAGGGACCGCGCGCCGAACATTCCGACACCCGACAGTAAGTTGCCAATGCAATCAATCCATTCTGGTAAACCGACTTCCCTCCTTGGGCCGTCTTATTCTTCAAAGTTGCTCTCTTGATCAAGGAAGAACCAGCAAGCACTTTTCGGGCACTTAAGGGTGATACACCGAGAGAAATCGGGCGCTTACAAGAGAGCACGCGCAAGTTGCCCTTTAATCCGGCACGATGCCGCCAATGATCAACTCCAAACAATTGAACATCAGTTCTGCTGCTACATCACTCCGACTCCAACACGATAAAACTGCAAACAAAGCACTGTCAGAGTAAAGTGGAACTCCAACAAAGCCCAAGCATTGCTCCCGCCAAGGACTGACAAGTCTTTGCTTCACCTGCTGCCACAAAGAATCATATGTACCACAGCCTGACGGCCTAATTTAGTGGAAAACTGTTTGTCTCCTGCCTTCTCAGGAATTGGCTCTGAGCCAACGAACTGATCTGCCCACAACTCATCCTTGGTTTTGAGGCGTTTTTCGACATAAAAACGAAAAACGTCAAAGGTAGCTCCTTGTAGTGCAGTGGGATGCTTTCACTTTCCTTTTTTGATCTTAACGGTTTTTTCTCGTTTCTCTTCATTCGCCTTCAACTGCTCACCTGCAATGTGTGAATCGACTCAATGGTTCTCGAACAGTGGAACCTTGACATCCAGCTTCCGAACACATCTTTAGGCAGATTTTTCTGAGCGCAAGTACGAAATGCAGTAGGCCATACCTTTATCCATACGACCCGAGAATGGAGAATGTGGACATTCTTTCAACCATGGCCTAGGACAAGAGAATTGTAGCACTTGCGCTCATCCATTGTCGGACACTGGCCAACTACCGGGTTTCCCCTGAGATCACGATAACTTGAGGCCAAGGGTTGGTGACGAAAGCTAGCAGGGCGGGTGTGAAGCGGGTGACAGTTGGCCCCATGCCAGCGGAAATACACACGTCCCAGAGACGTCCCAGGGAGGAGTTGAACCCGCGGATGGGGTGGGGTGGGGGCCCCGTACATATGAAGTTTTCACGCGATGCGGCGCTCTCGAGGATTCCAGCCCCTCACTTGATAAAGGAAGAACAATTCCAGCTAGCTGGTGCTAGCTTTCATGATTAAGCAGCCTTATAGTATATATATATATATATGTCATATTGAACCTAAACCTTTACTCAGTCATGTAGTCAGACAAGGATCCTGTGGCAACGCCACTCCAAGCCACTGCTGCTGGTTCAGCTGCGCCAAAGTGCCAAGGAATTCCTTGACATGAAGTCTATTGAAGTCACAACCGCTGGTTCTGGGTCCAAACCAGAGCTTTGAAGGAAAGAATGGAAACATATGGAAACGAATAGACAGGATATGAAAGGATCTTCCTCGCACAATCTGAGTGAGACTGTGGGACAGTATCCTGAGCAGCTTTCAAGACACGTGTGACAACGTGTTGCCCAGGTGCTGTGGAGCTCTCATTGTCGCGAGACATGGCCCCCGACCCAAGCCCAGTCCAATACAAGCCTTGGCGTACACTCACACAAACACAAGGTCCGGCAAATAAACTGCTTCGCAGATAGCTAGGTCCGGCGCAAAGAAAGTGGAAGTGGAAATCGAAGCGTTGCGGTGGCA